GATACTATGTTGATGTACATAGAGCAAGTTTTCAAAACAAGTCAGTTAAAATGCTGAAGTTTCTACCCCATTAGTCTAACGTATAATTGCAACCTTTTGGACGCCAATACATCAAGTTTCTTGCAAAAATCAGTGTGAATCAATATAGTATGATTCGTAAAGTTCGTTTCTGAAAACTCAACTCATTGAATTGAATTTAGATAGTTCATTTTTTCTAATCGTAGTGCTATTTTTGATCGATACTGCATATACATACACAATGGCTAATAACTTTTCAATGCTATTTGATCCATTTCTTGTTATTTGTATTTCTTCAACAGCAGTTGAAGCTACCATTTTAGTTGATATAATTACTTCATGTATTGTTCTTGGTTTTATTATTAGTAATCAGTCAGCGGAGAATTCACTTCTCACTGAATCAAAAAGAAATTGTGCTATCTGATATATGCGTTGTACTTGATCGTCCAATGGCTATTTATGAGTTAGTTCAGTTCTACTCTGAAAGATCTTGATTCAAGTCTCAATGAACAAGTGAAACAATTTTTTTCCAGAGATATTTATCAAACTTGTTATTTCAGCATTTTGTCAACAATCTATTCTAATATCAGATTTGACAAGAGAACGGAAGAAACGACTGGATGGCCGACGATCTATTGTAACTGTTAATAGTAGTGCTTTTTTTGTCAAAATTACATACGCGAAGAGATTCTTTCTGCACTGAAAAATGATTCTTGTTACACTAAATGGTGAGCCGAATTCACGGATACCTACGCTTTCCATCTTATACTCTGTCGTCACAAACACATATTCAGCAAATCTTACAAAGGACGATGTGGAAATTTTGAACTCTATTACCGTAACTAACGGCTCCATTGGAACAATAACTACAACAACAGCGACTACAATCCCAGCTACTATACCAATAAGAACTACTACGCAGGTCTGGCCAAAAGTTTTGGCAACATTTCTGGGAACTTTATAAGCCATTTAACATTTAAGAATCTATTGTATGAAAAAATCGTATAGTGCTGTCTATAATAAAATAATTTTTACAACTATTTTGTGTGTAGTTTTAATATTCTTTCAGATAAAGTTCAATTCCAACGAAAAAAAAATAATTTGAAAAATGAATACTGAATTCGATCGATATTACACACTAAAATTCGAACTATTTTGAAAATAGATACAAAGACATTTGACAAGAAACTTACAATTGCGTGAAGATCGAACGCTTCATCATATCAAGCAGTTGCAAGATGAGCAGAGCGTTTTCATGAAGCAAGAGAAGATGTTAATGATCACCCTCGATCTGGTCTTCCGCTTCCTAAGAGTGTGAGTGTAGGCATGGATATTAATGTACGTCTTCTATTTATCGACACACACACCGACATTCACATACAAAACCACACCCCATACTTCAAGATTCTCTCGATTCTAGACTTGAGAAAAAAAGCAGCTGGCCACTTTCAATAATCACAATATTTGATATTTTGTCGAAGTCAAACAGAAATTTTTACTTATCTTTTTCGAAGGAGGGAGCAAAACAAGAAAATTCTTTTTCGCACTCTTCCAATCATAAAACTGTTGTATGGGTTCAATCCACTCTAGAATAAAAAAATCCTAGCGTCATCCCTGAAACCAAACCACCCATGTAATGTCTTCTATAGATATTGAAAAACCTTATCAATAGTCGCAATAGATATTTATCTTTCTTTCTATAACTGTTTTCTTTTTTAATTCAGCTGTTACAAGAAAAAAATCGAGTTAATCACTCTACTATTATTATTATTAATAAAAATATTGAAACATTATAGAAAGAATTGTCAGTATCATCGAAGGAAAATATTGTTGATCATTCGAATAAATAAAAGTTTGTATTGTCATTGGCGGTAACCATTTATTACAATGATCTGTACCACAACAATATATACGATGATTAGTTACATTTAATTCTTCACAATATTTTACACCACGTAAAATAATTTGTTCTCTACGGGTTTCTGGATTAAAATAATGATCACTCTAATCAAATAGAATTAAAATGGTATTCAAATTTTTTTGTTGAAAATTTCTTACCTGACAAACATAGTCGGAATTATAATTAATACTTTCTATATCATTTTCATTACTTTCATCTCCAGTATCAAAATCCAATGGTAAAGAACAAAAAAAAGCATGATTCATGCATGTATAACATTTAATTGATGAAACATGTTGAATAAATCCTATTTTTTCAAACAAAAAAAAAAAATTTTCATGTTAGAAGTGATGCACAAAAATTTAACAACAATGTTTTTTTATATTATGTTAAGTACTTAGCTCAAATCCAAATAGTCATTTTAATAGTCAAATAGAATTTTCTTTCTAATTTATTCTTTGAGAAATTCTGAATAAATTGAGAGAGTTGTGTTTAAAAAGTTCGAAGTACTACACAAAAAAAAATTATCAAAACATCCTTTGCTGGTTTTTGTGATACTTTAATTATGTACAAAACTACGAAATAGTTTTGTAAATTATTCAATTCTTTCTGTCAGACTTTTTCTAAATGGAATCTATCGAGAAGATAGTTATTATTTCATGAAATGAAACCCTTAAGATTAAAAATTCTTTAGGCTTTAAGTCGATTGATATATAAATACCCATAAAAACCTAATAATCAATCAAACAGTAAGAATAGAATCCTCTTTTAGTTTTTTGGTTGAAGTATTGTCGGTAAACTCGACAATTTTCTATCATTAAATGAAAATAGAATCAAATATACTCATCAACTCTATACCTCTTTATTGTGAAACTAATGTCTTTTTTTTCATGTTAACTAACAAAATTTGTTTTTTACTTAACATTTTCCATTAACGACAATATAGTCATATTTCTAGTTCAATACAATATGTAAATTTTAAAACGAAGTATAAACTTAAGTTTTTAAAAAATGAGAAATAATTCTTTTTATTTCTATGTATTTTTAATCAGTTTATATCTAGTTTAATTTTGTTTATGTCTCAACTTTGCATGGCACACATTATGAATATCTTACCAAAAGCGAAGAACATCATTAATATCATTGTGCTTGCGAATTCTTCTGTCAATATCATCTTAATAATGACAATATAGTATTCTTACAAAAAAAAGAAAAGGTTATCCTTTTTCTTTCTCTACGCAATAAAGAAATGTAATATTTGTAGAATTTTCTTCGAGAGAAACAAATTCACATAATCAATTTTAATAAAAAGAATAAAATATGTCTAGCTTTTGTACCTCAATAACAAAATATTTCTATTGGTTGATATTATAAATCAAATTTCCAATGAATCATTTCATATCCTTGAGACAAATAAAGACAATAGAATTAACCTCTTGGATACCGCTGCCTTCAATTGAAGACAAGCAGAATGAAAGAATTTTTTTTTCGTTCTGTCGTATCGATAAACAGCTGTCAAAACGAAATGTTCATTAATGTGCCTGTATCAATCCACATTTCATATACAATAAAACATAAATGTATACAGGTGATTTACGATAATAGGACGCAAGAGAGAGTGATTTTTCTATAAGATCGTAAAGAACGCAAGAATTGTCGGGGATCCAGGAGGTTAAAGAAAAAAAAATAATCGTTCACTGAATCATTGAAAATCACATTTGTCGTACTATTTTTATGTATTGTATGCAATCCGTAATAGAAAAGATATTTGTTTCTGTGCGATATAAAATATATCAGAGAGAAGTAAATAACATAATAACAACATGTTTCAATTATAGAATACAGCAACTCAGCAAGTAGATGGCATTTGATGTCTATCTCAAGAATTCAGATAACTAAACAAAATGATACAAATTAACGCATATTTTTTCCAATCGTTATTAACCAAGAAGAACAACGTAGAAAGATTATAATCCAAAATAAACATTACAAATATCACAATGAAATAATGACTTTCAAACAACTGCAGTAGTATCTTACATCCAGAAATTCAGGATACAAGATATACCATGAGAGATGATTAATATACAGTATAATCTTTTCTGTGGATATTCAAACATGAGTATGACTATGGATATCGAGAAAACCGAAACCCACACCTACACCCACGTTAACATTTAATAGAAATTTAAAATCAGGTGAATTTTTCTGCAATGGATCAAAACTTATAATAACTAGAAATTTATTTTTTGTTTTTGACAGGTTTATATGCCTTAAAAGACGAAATAGTTCTTAGTTTTTCTCAAAAATGACGACATTTACAAACAATTTAGAAATTTTAACCATTCACTGCACTTTAATAGAAACAGTTTACATTTGAGTCTACTGCATCATTACACGTTCAGAATGAATAATATTCCTGTTAAATATTTTTTAAAATCAGCTAAAATAAATAAGAAAATCATTCGATTTTTTTTAATCAACATGTAAAGTTATTCCATAGGTTGCCACAATTCGCGATGGAAGCGTCGAGAGTCATCACACAGACACTTCAACGGTGTCGCTCATATTGTTTTAACTCCTCCGTTCCTTTGCATCGTCGTTGGGTGTGGATGTGAGTCTTCTTTTCATCCATATCTCACAACGGCATCCACACGCACATCCACTTCGGTGTATGTCGTGATATATTTTGTTTAAAATTAAACATATTAAACAAGTCATAAATATCAAATGCAAAGACAGACAATTTATTCTAGATTATCCGTTAGTATAGCAATTGCAACAGGCTCAAATTCCATTTAATGCTTATTATTTGATGAATTTCGAGCTTTCTTGACGCCCATTAGATAAAAAATTGACACCAAAAACATGCTTGAATACTTGAAAGATAGAGAATGACTCGTTATCATGTTGCAATAAATAAATAAAAAAGACTGATACAGAACATTTTTTTAATATAGTCACATGAAAGAAAAAGGTTTTGCACCGGTCCTTTTTTTTTGCCTATAGTAAGATGATAACGAATAATTTTTTTATCTTTTATAGAACTAGTCATTTGTGCACTCATTCATCTATCGGACACATGTGGCCATCTCGCATCACTACTCCGCTTGTCTATATTCTTGTCACTCTATTCGGTGTGGGCACATGGCTCAATCTTCAGGGTGTCTTTCTTCAATTTCCGCTTATCGTACCTCAAGTTGTCGAGGGCTGGCGTTTGCCCGCCATCATGGGCCTCATTGCGAATAGTGGCACCATAGCCCTCTTTATTGTAGCTATTATTCGATGGTGTTCTCGAGGCAAGGTTGCTTACGAAATTCCCGTCAATATTGGTATATTATCGATCGGTACTGGTGCACTTGTCGCTCTCGCCTTCCTCTGGAACAAGACATCGATTATTGCTGGTTCTCGTCATTCCACTTATCTTATGGCTCTATCGTTTTGTTTAGCTCTCGTTGATGTTACTTCGAATGCAACATTCATGCCATTTCTTAATCGATATGAACTTCGTTTTCTCAATGGATTCTTATTCGGTGAAGCACTCTCAAGTTTATTACCTGGATTGCTCGGACTCGCTCAAGGTGTCGGTGGAGAAACCTGTCAAAATGGAACAAGCATTCAGCATCCACCTCGTTTTTCGGTTCAAGTATACTTGATCGGTTTATCAGTGATAATGATTTGCTCATTTCTGGCGTTTATCATACTCTGCTCAACGAAGATTGGCAGACACAAAACCAATGATACTCAGTAAAGGTTTTAATGAAATTAGTTTTTCTTCTTATAGGCGAATCATGTCAGTGATGACAAACTTTCGAATTAAATTTATGGGGATATATAAAATCTGACTATTTCAAAAATAAGAAAAAAACATTTATATCTGTTCGCAGAAACTCCTCTTAATTGGCCAATGGAGAACTTTGAAGCAATAAAATTTAAAATTGGTTGGCTCGATCATGTTGCTATTCGAATGAAACAAAATGGTAATTGTTTTTGTTTTAGATCAATAATCAGTGAATTGTCATCGATATCATCAATTAATGATCTGCACGAAAACGGTGGACATAGTGAAATACCAGCCAAACGAATGACTTACAAACAATTTTGGTTTTCTATACATGGCAGCTATTTGATTATGATTTTTTTGGCGAGCTTTTTCAATATCGGTTTGTATTGGAGAATACGTTTTATTGGGGATAAATCATTTCTGAAGATGTTTTTCATTATTGCTTAATTGATGCAATTTTCTTTTCGATTTCTGACTTCTCTCGTAAACTATCAGACAATTAATAGTTTTCAGTACTGAAAAAAATTTTTTGAAAGAAAAATAATATGAACTCTTTTTCTTTTTCTCTCGTCTAGGCGCTGCATCAAGTCTACAAAGTAAGTGGATCGACTGCTTTTATTGTCAAATCTGACTTGTATCATTTTAGCATTCTCTCTCTATCCATACTCTATCAACGTCTATCACAAAACAATCATCGCTTGTCAATTTGCCCCTCCACTTATGGTACTTGTTGCGATTTTCTTGAATCGTATTCCAACTATTGTACTATATATTCTAACTATTATTGGTACAATTCTATTTGCTTATATCTTCATCACAGCCAAACTTTCTCCTTGTTCGCCTCTAGTTGATCAGACATCCGGGGGTGTTTTGATTGCACTTGTTTGGGTGGCGATGTATTGCGTATTTCATTTTATCCGTATCACTGTTGCTAACTATATAAAGCGTACATCGGCTCATCGAGGACTTTACTGGTTCGGCATCTTGACTCAAGCTGGATCGTTCCTTGGAGCATTGATTGTTTATTTACTTACAACTCAGTTTAATATATTTCATGAACGACATCTTTGTCAGTCGTATATATGTTGATGACATGAAATAAAAAATCAGTGATTACTCCTATCGATCGCTTGCTAGGTACGAAATGAACATTTTTAGATTATGATCGACATGTCTACTCATGTTTTCATTTGAGTATTAAAAGAAACATTTATTAAAAAGATATGGAATTTCGAATGAGTAATTGATATTTATGACGAATAGAGTATCTCTCGTTTTGAAAAACTCACTGCATCTTAACAGAAAAAGTTTACACTTGAGTATAATGCACTATTATATATTCAGAATGAATAATATTATTCTTAAATGTTTTTAAAATCAACTAAAATAAATAACAAATTATTAGATTTTTTTTATTCCCATATAAAACTATTCGAGATTTCAAACTATTTTAGAGAAAAATCTCTTTCATCAAACTTCATTCATTGACTATCGTCACATTTCTGATGAAGCGATGTTATAATCCTTTTTTTTGCAATATTCACACAATCCATAATGAACGAAATTTGTAATAGTATTAATATATACAACGTGAATCTTATTCAAGAAACTTGTTTGTTGTGCTTATTTTGGTGTGTATAAGAATATTGATGAAGATTTTTACTTTCATATACGATGAAGTACAAAGTATTTGACATTCAATAGATTGATAACTATCTTAAGAGATTGAATGTACTGAGTTTAGAATATTTCACTACCAGTGTGTCATGGAAACTTTTGAGTACTATATGAGTTTTTAGCACTCGGCAACACAAATTTTTTAAATGTTCAATCTACTAACCTGTTAAATAACTTTTCATAGAACGCTATAGAAATTGGATAGGTGCCTTAAACTGAGCTATTCATTACGCTTGTTGCTAGCAAACAAAATAACCATATTCAGCAACAAAAATATTATACATTTATCAGCATTATTTATTTGATATACGGAATATTCAATGAAGATTTCTGTGAGATTGCTTTCATAGACAATATTAAATTTGTGTGAACGTGGGTGTCGGTGTTGTCTTCGCTTGACCTACACTCGTACTCATCCATACCCACACCGGAAGTACTCTTAGACATACATTCCGAAAATCTGACCTTGTTCATTACGATCTCCGGGCATACATAAGATATAGCAAGAAGAATTATATTCCGAACATTCGGTCAAACCATTCCTGTTTCACTGCTTTTCTATTACGATATACTGCACACGAATGTTTACGAATTCTTGCCATAAATCTTTAAGGACAAAAATTCATTTCTCAACACCAGGACATATGTTCGGAGTTCGGAAGGGAGTTGAGACGAAAGCTAGGTCATCCGAATTATTGAGATTCAGATTTCGATTCTTGACACATTTTCCATCAATAGTAAGTCAATCAAACTGCGAATAGAGGCATATTAAAACATAATAACTTCAAAGTGTTGAATAAATAATGCGCATTGTTTTTATCATGGGTTTCACCCAAAACTTAACATATTCTATGAATTGAAACTTTTATTATCAGTGATCTTTTTGCAACAGATTATCAAAATTGCCAAAAGTTCTTTTTCTAATATCTTAGTTCTTCTTATTTTCAAAATGTTTTTAGATGATCGAGTGTCATTTCGATATTCAGGCTTCTACTTTTGACATTTTTCATTGTCTGGTTGGATATTGCCAATGACATTCTATAATATATTGCTGCTTCTACACCTTTTCTCTATTTTCTTAGCTTTGTAACACGATTTCCGATGCGGACAAAATAAAAAAGCAAGATCTTGTTTTGCCTGAAACAATGAAATTCTCAAGTGATATTCCTGTAAGAACATCATTTTGTTGTTATTATATATTAGTCTTTGTATATAACGAGCATATATTCTTTGTACTGTTGAATACGATAGAATCGATGGGATTGACTCGAATAGAGTTCGGAAGGATCACTGCTCTTAAACTCTGAAAATTTTGTTTTATTCGCTCAATGATTTCAAGTTTTCAAAAAAATCGTCGACCACCCAATTTTTCCATTGTGGGGTATCCCTTGATGGCGTAATGAACGTATTATTTTTTTCTATGCTTCTTACAACATTGTATCAAATCTTGGAGACAGTCACAATTATTATACATACTACGTATGTAGTGTAAGAGTGTGACCTTTTCGATACCGTGATGTTCAATATTTGTGGAGAAAACTTGAAACAAAAGCGAAATGAGATTTCGTTCTTATGATTTCTCCTTTTTTTGGACTAGTTTAACATCTTTTTCGTATACTTTTAAGAATATTGCAAGTAAATATTTGGTTAGTTTTTACTTTGCAAATTCGCATACAGCTAGGAAATGTAATGTGCACTGATAAGTTTTATTTAATTAAAAAAAAAATTAAATGACAAAAACTGGTTTATAATAATCAGTAGTTCATTGCAATTTGCAAATTCTATTGTTGACAATTAGTGATGATACATGAGTTTTGTATATGTAAATGGTCGCTTTAATGCTTATGCATAACAGTTGGTGGCAAAAATAATAGGTATATTACTGGTTTTGATTTCTTTGTACTAATTGTCTAAAACAAAAACGATATAAAAGAAGAATTCTTTTGTAAAAGGCATTACGAAAGAATTGACTCGAGAGAATCGACACATAAAACGGTGTGGCAAAACTGAAAAAGTACAAAGAGCTGCCAAGTCTTTGAACCAACCCTTCTGGAGCAGGTTCAACGACTATTCTATTGCCAAAAGTAATGGTGATGATCAAGTAGCTATACGAACCAAGACGTAGTAGACTAAACATTGCGCTTAGAATCACTTGTATTATAATGATCTAAATTTTTGAAAAACACACCAACAAATTTACTTATACATTAAGAAGAGATTGACAAGCAAAATCATACCTGGACAAGTTTAAATTCTAAACGTTGTACTTCTCGATGATACGGTGTATAATTCACTATCGTGGCGGCTACCACTCGTTTTCGTGATTTTCTAATAGCCGAGATAGTGATGAGAGAAAAGATCAACATAAGAAGATGAGGCAAAAGTATAACAATGATGATCAAATAGCCCGCAAAAACAACCGTATAAATACTTCCCGGACTAATTTGACACATATTGTTATAAATATCATAAAAAATAAGTATATGTATTGAGATGACAAAGCCGGCTATCAGCGTACCAACTGCCAAGTGCTTTGCGACTTTAATTTGACTCCATGCATGTATTTTAACTTTGTCTGATGTAAACAAACATCGATTGAGAGTAGCCAAAAGCAAATAATAAGATGCGAGTGCAGGTAATGTCACCACAAAATAAAAGCGCAATTTACAATATATAGTCGATTGATTTAGCAAATCACTTTGAGACAGATTAGAAGTCAAGCGAGTTACAACACAGAATAGAATAGCGAGCAGTTGAAACACTGAAGCACATAATAAATAGAAAATAGTTGAAGACTGGCGCATCTGTCGACCGGTAATTGTAATTAAATTACAAATACCACCAATGGTACCAAAAATCAAAGTGACAAAGTCGATATACAATGTGGTGTTGAAGATAATGTGAAATAGTGTTGCCACATAACTGCTGTTAGCCGACATATGTATGTTTTTTATCTATTATTCAATATGGCAAATAGATGAAAGTTCAGAACGCAGTAAAACAGTACTCAAGATGAATTGAATTTACTATCTGACTCCTATGTTTATTTTTATGTGTCGTCAACAAAAATGAATGTTCTCTGTAGCAATGCATTTATGATCTTATTAATTAATTTTTTCACATGAATATGTCGCATTGTGTTAAGTATATGTGATGAATTGTTTAGTAATGAGTACAAAATTAAAAAGAAGCTAAAGGAAATTATTAAAGTACTATCTGCTATGCATGAAAGAAAAAGTTGCAAAGAATGTATTGAATTCTGGCATGCACAGAAGAAAAACTTTTTCTTCTAGAAGCAATTATCTTTCCTTTAGTAAATCTTTCTTTTTCTATTTTTTCCTGTTTTAAAATGAGTGTTCGACATCTGACAGCAGTGTCAAACTTCAAACTTAAATTCAGTTATTCATTTCAAGTATTTAATTCATGTATTCAAGTATTCAATAATTGAATTCAAGTTTCAAGTTCGACATTCATGATATAAACAGGCGCAAAGACAAAAATGATTTATTTACTATTCAGAGAACCTATCCTTCTAGTATGGAGAAAATTTGCACATAAACTTAGAGAACGTACTCACCAACAAGACCTTGTACAACTAAGAGTCTATTTTTTTTCTTCTTTAAATCGATATTTGTCTTCGTCGGAGTAATTTGTTAAACCGAAAAGTTCACAAAGTCAAGCAGAAGATCGTTTCTTTTGATCAATTGCTGTAGTCAATAGTTGTACTGAGTCACATTCTTGTAGATGTATCTCAATCCATTGTTGTAGTTTTTTTTTCTCGTTGTTATTTTGAATACTGAATATAATAGAATTAGAACTTCATTTTTGTCTCGAAATTCCGAATATTTAGCTATATTGAGAGCGGTACTCTGAAAGAAAAAAAGGAGGTTTGCAGAACCCCTCGAAAAGGTTCTGTAGATTTCTAAAAGCATCCAAATGTGTCCAAAGTCTCAAAAAAAGGATAAAAAATTCGACAGAACCTTTTGAGGGTTCTGTCTTTTACCCAGTAGCAGAACCATTTCTTACAGAACCTTTTTTTAGGTTCTGTACACCAAAAAAAGGTTTCGTGAGAAAATACGAAACCTTCGGGGTTCAGTACAGAACCATCAGGATTTAGTCGAAAACCATTAGGGTTTCGTACCAAAGGTAATGGTTTTGTACTGAACCCTGAAGGTTTCGTATTTTCTCACGAAACCTTTTTTTGGTGTACAGAACCTAAAAAAAGGTTCTGTAAGAAATGGTTCTGCTACTGGGTAAAAGACAGAACCCTCAAAAGGTTCTGTCGAATTTTTTATCC